TTTTTGATTTTCAAAAATCCGAAACAAAGTCGGATTCCAAAAAAAAAAAATGGGGTTGTAGGGCTTAAAATTCCCTACAACCCCATTTTTATTTTTGTTTTTTAACCATGTATTTAATTCAGGAAAATTCTGGTAAAATCGGGTCTCCGGTGCGGACCAGGTCGGCCGCGGATGCGGACCCGTTTGCGTCTGCCATCCGAGATCGTACCCGAGGACGCGTCCGCGAGTGTTTCATAGGCCAATCATCCACCCAACTCCAATTACTGATCCTCATACCTGCACCGACGAGCCCGACCGTCGCATGCTAACTTCTACCGCTGCGATCGTCACCCCGCTGACACAAGCTTGACACGGCTCGCCCGGATCCCACAGTCCGTCGTGGCGATCAAGCACGCAGGCGGCCAGCGTACTGTCAGCCCTATAGGACTTTTCGACTCGCACCAAACGCATCACCTAGCCACTGCTTCCCGGAAGCATGTTTGTGAGTGAAAAACGTAAGAAAGCTTTGCGGGCGCGCATGCGGAATTTATACTTGCGAAAAAGAAAACAGACGGGGGAGAAGACAGAGGGGAGATCGAGGCGTAAGAGGAGAAGATTCAGCGAGGGGTGCTGAAGGGAAGCCATGTTGATCCTTCCCAACTCAATGTTTAACCAATCAGATTCGTCGTGCAACAGGAAGATCCTCTTGCTCAACACGTCTGATTGGTGAGCGAGGGTAATCGGAGGATCAACCGGGCTTCGTTAGCCAAGGTTGAAGAGCAAGAAGGAAAAAGGCGCGAAAAGCAGCGTGAGACGGTTCCAAGATTCAGATGATCAAGAAGGGAAAACATGCGGCCAAAAAGCAGAGAGAGAGGGAAAAATAGTTGCGATAGGAGAAGAAGAGGAGGGAGAAGGGAGAGAGAGAAGAGAGTGCGGGGGAAGAATGCCGCGGGAAACAAGGAGGAGGAAGTTCGCATGCGTGGTGCCGACAACAAGAGAAAAAGACACCAAAACAGTTACAGCTTACCTACGCCCTAAACCAATTCAAAAATTGAAATCACCATATCCGCGCGCGAAAGTCAACGCGGAAAAAGAAAGTCTTATGCCTATATGTATTCTCATAAAATTCCTAGAGTTTTCTCTGTCATGACCGAGAACATTCATGCAAAGAAAAACACACGTCGGGTTCCGCTTATTCCGGAATTCCTAACTGTCGAGCCCGATTCCCAGTGCGCTCGCTAAGGTGCGCGTAATTTCCCATGCATTTCCCGAATTACAAAAAGCAGAATTCCAAGAATCAATGGAACCTCCGAAAAAATGGGGGCTTAAACAAGGCACCTAAAATCAAGAAAAGTGACGGGGGTTTTGTTGGGTCGGTATGATTCAAAAAGGGGATATTGAGTCAAGGGGTACGAAAGATAGCACGGGGTCGGGAAGTGGTTCGTCACAGGGTGGGTAGAACGAGGAGAGATGAGATTCTCGCCAACTTTCTGGGAACAAGGAGTTTCTGCTTTCTAGAGGAAGAGAAATCAACCTGGATAGTTGATAAGCATTTCTGGAAGATGGGGAGGGACGATTGGCTGATAGGGCATATCCTGAGTTTCTCGACGAGGTCTAGGATCCACGGGACGATGATTGGTGACCTTGACCCTGAGCAGTTCGACGAACTGTTAGTAGCTGATAGGGAGTCGAGGAAGGAATCGATGAGGGTAAGGGAAGGGGCATTCTTGGCCTTGGGAGCACTTCTGAACGCTCCTTATTCTCCGGAGATAGAGGACGTCGTCAGGAAGCTCCGCAAGGTAGTGAGGGGAGGAGAGGAAACAAGTCATTGGAAGGAGTTCGCTACTCGCGCTCCTCAACTTGATGAAGGGAGAGGGATAGACTTGCTCTCATGGTACTGCAGAGGGCCACACTTCTGGATTAGAGGTCTGGCGACTAAAAAGATGGGGAAGGAGGCGGGACTCAACAACGAGGCAAACGGACGATGGTTCATTAGGCTCGGTGCGGGTGGGGATGAATTTTTCAATATGCTGGAAGACTCTCCTACGTCGGAGGAGGACTTCGACTATTATCACGGGGAGGAGCGGTCAGGTGACGATGAGTCCGAGACGGAGGAGAAGCAGGGGAGGTACTTGGATATCAGGCGGATTTAGCGCACGTTTCAGGCTTGGTGAAGCCCCAGAACTCAAGCAAGGGTGGCAACTGGACACTGCCTGGTCGTATTGGAACACCAGAACTCACGATAACAGGAGGATTGAGATTGGGGTTAGATCAGAGTAATCTTAATTCGGGCTCTTGATATGGAAGGATTATCAAGCCGGAAGTAGGTATAAGAGGTGGATCAGTACTAATGATAGATGAGAATGTTCGGTCAGTAACAAGACAGGAACCCTCAGCGAAGGGGAATAACTCTGGTCTGTAACAAGGATCGATCGAGTTTGCTAAAAAAATATTTTAGGATTTTCATGGTTTGAAGGTAAAGTTAAAATCCTTTTCAACTGATCAGTCACTACGGTAACTCTGGATGATAAATCTAAAAGGGTCGTACTGTGCTTTATCTTTACAAATTCGAGTGAGCAAATCTATTTTAGGTAGGAAGGACTTGAAACGTCTCTGTGTTTTATCTGGGTGCCTGCAATGCATCTCTCCTGCGTTAAGGGAAGTCTGCTCTAGTGAGGAATGGTTAGGGAGATCTTTCAATTTTCCCGTACTTGACTAGGATGGACCGTGAAAAACCTAGAACCTTGTGAATAAATGTTTTCTCTCCGGGATCCCACTCGTTCCTTTCTTACTAGGATCTCAAAATTTTAAATAACTGCTGTCTCTTCAGGTGTTGTTTTATATTTCGCGGTGTCCCAGCAATTCGAAAGGACGGTACGGTTACCCAAGGGTTTCTTCTTTGCGTGCTACCTCTCCTCTGGGATGAAAATTAGGGCTAGATTCTCACCGGACTAAATTAGGATGAGGCTAACTGAGAGCTTTGTGAATCAATGTCTTGCGCTTCTTTCTAGGCCCTCAAAATCTTAGATATCTTGTCTCACGAATATTGCTTTCTATTTCACACCTGTTTGATGTCTTGATGACTAACATGGTGACATAAATATTTGTAGAGATTCGGGAATGAAAAGGACTGTGGGCATAAGAATACCCTAAGCTCTTCCTCACTTGCTATTTTCTTTGGGATAAAGGATATGACTATCAAACGAGATTCACCTTGTGCTTTGTTGGATCTTTATTAAATTAATATGGTGATTCGGGGTGATTGTGGACGCAACCACGCCCTAGGTCTATTCTTCACTTGCCTCTTTCTTTGGGACTCCTGAAATTTGAACCATCTTTTGTCACTTCAAAGAGGGGGTGTGACTATTATCTGCAGAACAAGATTG